AGAAAAATCCTTCCCCTCCCCCCCCCCCAAAAAAAAAGTAAGATATCGCATCTTTATGACTCAGTAAAGAACGAAACGAAACCGAAAAAAAAATCAGAAAAAAAAAAAAAGAAGTCATAGAAGTTCAAAGAAATGTGAAAAGTTAGAGAGAATCGGACCAAGCAAGCAGGACCGCGCTAGTAAAATAGAAAATACAATTTGTTTTACTCAGACGATTTGAGTCGGTGAACTGTGCTGCGCCTCGAGTTTATTTGACAATAGACGAAGACGTTGCAAACAGGGAAGGGAGGGGCCATAAACAGGTATATTGGCGCAGCGAAGAAGAAAAGTTTTAGAAGAGTCTGGACACGTAAGAAAGAGAGGAAAAAGGAAGAAAAGAGAAAGAGGGTTGAGGGAGAGAGAGAGAGAGAGAGAGAGAAAGAGAGGAGAGAGAGAGAGAAGAGAGAGAGAGAGGAAAGAGAGAGAGAGAGAGGAGGGGGAGGGGGGGCAGGGGAGGGAGAGAAAAAGAGAGAGAAAGAAAGAAAAGTACAAATAGAAAGAGAGAGAGAGAGAGAGAGAACGACAAAGAGAATATTGCTGGCTAAATGTCACATTATCACGATGTTAAGCAGCAATGTGCTGCAAGAGAAGCCAACAAAAAGAAAGGAAAAAAATGAAAAAAATGAAACAGAAAAAATATTATTACTAAAAAAATTATATCAAAAAAACCACTAATTTTAAAGATATATATCTGCGCTCACAACCACTTTCCTGCTTTTATTTTAGCCACTCCAGTTTTCATCAATATTGCTGTTTTTCTATCAATGTTGGGGTTACTATCATACAGTTGCCATTAATCTTCATCTTTATTGTAATTAACATTATCATTATCGGTATCATCATTGCTACAACTTAAATCTCTACTACCATTATTGTTCTTTTTATCATTGTTATCATTGTTATTAGTATTATTGTTATTATTATCATTACTTTTATTATCGTCATCATTATTGTCATTGTTATTGTTATTTTTGTTACTATTATTATCATTATTATTGTTTTTATTATCATCATTGTCATTGTTATCATCATTGTCATTATAATCATCGTTACTATCTGTATTCTTTTTATTTTCATCATTACTATAATTATTACAATCATTATTAATATCATCATTAATTGTTTTAAGCAAAATTGTCATTGTAATAATTATTATCATTATCATTACGATTATCATTGATATTATCATTATTGTTTTTATCATCATCTTTATTATTATTATTATATTATTATTATTATATTATTTTGTTATATTATTATTATTATTTTATTATTATTATTATTATTATTATTATTATTATTATTATTATTATTATTATTATTATTATTATTATTATTATTATTATTATTATTATTATTATTATTATTATCATCCTCATCATCATTATCATTATTGTTATTATCATTATCATTGTTGTTAATAACATTCTATCATACTTGTAGTAATCATACTACTACTACTAATGATTATGATGATGATGATGATAATAATATTTAAGATTATGATAATAATGATACGACCACTACTTCTACTACTGCTACTACTACTACTATTACAACTACTAAATATAGCAACAATATGAATAACAATATTGAATGCGATGATCCTCAACCTTATTCTCATACCGATTAACCCTTTCCTTCTCCCTTTCACTCGCAGATCCGAACCCAGAGCTGAGTGTGACGAAGGGAAAGGTCTTCGTGGCCAACAACACGGCCTCCACAAAAGACGGTAAGTACGCAGTAGACGAGACTAATATCTGTGACGTGTGGGACAGCTTGATAATTTTCCGTATAGTACAATGTGATGATAATGTTGTAATAGTGATTATTGTGGTATGAGTTTTGGTGGTGATGATGAAAATGGTAGTAGTAATGATAGTGAAAGTATTGTTGGTGGTGATAACATTTAAGTAGAATAATTCCGATCGTGATAATGATACCGATAACGATGGTGAAAATTATATGAATAATGGTGATAATGATCATAATAATAACTTAAACTTTAATGATAAATACATTTATGTTAATCATAAAAAGATTAATAAAAATATAATAATGATGATAAAATGAAAAAATAGTAACGATATAAAAATTCAAATAAAGTGATGATGACACTAATAAAAGTAATGATGATAATGATAACGATAATAATAATGATGGTGATAACAATGACAATAATGAAAACAATGATATAAAAATATAATGGTACTAGGCAATGATAATGATAACAATAACAATGCTAATGCTAATAATAATAATAATAATAATAATAATAATAATAATAATAATAAATAATAATAATAACAATAAATAATAATAATGATAATGATAATAATAATAGTAAAAAAATGACAATATTATTATTATTATTGTTTTATCAATTACTATAAATCATGATGATGATAACATTGATGACGATGACGATGACGATGATGATAGTGATGATAATGTTAAAGAT